TCGCCACTTTTATTTAATCTGTATAGTGAAGCTATCTGTGAACAAGCACTCGAGGAAGAAGATCTTGGTCTGATAATAAATGGTGAGACGATCAACAATATAAGGTATGCTGACGATACAGTTCTCCTAACGGGAACGCTAGTAGAACTACAACATCTCGTTCAAAGTCTCAATATATACTGTAACAGTTACGGCTTGAAAATTAATTTGAAAAAAACTAAATTTATGGTAATCACGAAATCAAAGAACATCAGAGCTAATCTTGTAATAGACAATACAACGATTGAGCGTGTGCCCTGTTATAAATATCTAGGTGCTTGGATCACAGACGATACTGATCAAACAAAAGAGATTAGATGTAGAATAGAAATCGCTAGATCAGTCTTTAATAGAATGCGCAAACTCTTTTGCAATCGTGATATCAATATAAAGTTACGAATACGAATGCTGCGGTGTTATGTCTTTTCTACCCTGTTATATGGAGTTGAGGCTTGGACACTAAAACAGTTGACCATAAAAAACATCGAAGCTTTCGAGATGTGGTGCTATAGGCGCATTCTCAGAATATCATGGATGGACCGCGTCACTAACACGCAAGTACTCCAAACTTTAGACAAAAGATGCGAAATTCTAAATGAGATAAAAACTAGAAAGATGGAATACTTGGGGCACATTGTGAGAGGTGAAAAGTACGAACTTTTAAGAAACATCATGCAGGGCAAAATTAAGGGCAAAAGAAGTGTGGGAAGAAGAAAAATATCGTGGCTTCGTAATCTACGTGAATGGTTCGGGTGTAGTTCGATTGAACTTTTCAGGCGCGCTGCTAACAAAGTCGCAGTGGCCATGATGATTTCCAATCTCGCTAGGAGTGGCACGAGAAGAAGAGATTAAACTTGTTTCATAGGATTTATTTTTTTTTTGACCACCACTTCCAATAATCAATATTCCCCAAGGCAAAAATAGTAGATTATTACTGCTTTGTTGTCCATCCACCGTGTGATGGCCATTTTGCCATCATCTCTGTTTTTGGTTTCATAAGTACACTTTAAAGATTTTGAAAAAAGTTTTTCTGGTTGCATGAAACAATCTTTAGGGATCCGGTTCTTCATAATGTGACTCTCCTAATCCAAAACCGTTACTAGATAATTGTGGAAATGTTGAATCCCCTTGATATATAATTATATCACATACAATTCCTTGTGGAGTGGTCAGAACAAAAGCTTTTAACCCAACAGGATTTGGTTTATTGGGACAATACTGACGAATTGGACATCTACCGGAGAATGGAATAATCATTTATACGTATTTTGAATATTCCAGACCCCGCTCTATAAAGACGAAAAAAAAGGTATTATAGTCTGGGTCTGGGTATATTAATATAGTAGGAGATAGTCTAAGTTGGATAGGGCATGTAATGCGGATAGAACAAAATGACCCAAATAGAAAAACTCTCCTTGATAGACCCCTTGGTCAGAGAAGAAGAGGAAGAACTAAAACAAGGTTCATTGATAACATCGATGAAGATATGAAAAATAAGGAATACGTGCTTGGCGGAGAAAGGCGATGGATAGGGACGAATGGAAAGAACTTCTTGAAGAGGCTAGGACCCACGCAAGGTTGCAAAGCCAGAATGATGATGATGTTAAACTTCTCGAGAAACATAATTAACGAAACTTAACTCTTATACGAATAAAATTTTATTTATTTTTTTTTTATCAAATATTTCTTTGATATGAATAAAATAAACTATATTTATTTGACTTTAAATTTCGCTTTATATTTCACTTCCAAATAAAGTTTTTAAAATTTAACAAACTATATTACGTTTTAAATAAAATAAATAAAAATTTTTAAGAAATAAATCTTATCATCTGCCGTACTTATTTTTTCCTGGTTTTTACTATGATTTACGATTTACTAACAAGAGAACTTGTCTTGATTTCGTGAATCAGATAAGATTAAATTATGAAATGGATTTTTTGTTTTCAAGCTATATTAAAACAAATTTATGACTTAAAAAAGTTAGCGGAATATTGTTTTGCGTTGCTATAATTTTTTTTTTTAAAGATGCTACGCGAATAAATTCAAGAGAGTTTAACAGGTGCCTGTGATGTATGTAAATACAGTAGTCTCTCTTTATAACGATTCCCTATATAACGATAATTCCTCTATAACGATGAAAATAGTAAACGTTGGTTAGTTCGCCACAAGGACAATGTATTAATTCTTTCTCTATACCGATATCGTTCTCTCTTTATAGCGATGACTTTTCAGCGTTCAATAGTCGATGACAAATGTGTTATTGTGTTTAAAGTTTAAACTACCTGAGTCATGAGTGGCAAAGTCGTTGTCCAGCGGTTGTTTTAATTTGCGCTTAAGGAATGCGGCCACCCATTCTACTCATTCTTATGAAAGGGTTAAGTGACTCGCTTTTATTATTCGGGCGGCGTGCCTAACTCTTATCACACAGATGTCATCTATTGACGACTTTTCATTTCCAGTTTGAGTTGTGTCTCAGTGTGTCAACAGTCAACATGTTTTCGAAAAAGCGTAAGGTGAAAAGCAATCGGATGTCGTTTGCCGTACCCCTCAGTCAACTGTGGCTACGATGCGGAAGGACAGGAAAAAGAGGCTTGAAGCGGAGATGTAGGGCGGTAGCAGGAAGAAGTTGCGGAAACCTCAGTACGAAGATTTAGATCGCGATATGCTTCAGTGGTTTCAGTAGCAGCGAATGAACCATATTCCACTTTATGGGCCTGTGGTCAGGACAAAAGCTGAATCTTTTGCAACTGATCTTGAAATTGCAAAGTTTCAAGGCATCTGAGGGTTGGCTGAGCAAGTGGAAGAAGCTGCGGCACAAGATCAACTACGGCAAATCAGCTGAGAGGCTCGCGATATTAACAAAAACGTAACGGATGATTGGCTACAAAACGTGTGGCCTGGACTGAAGGCACGTTATGCGTCAGAAGACATTTTCAATGCTGATGAGACTGGATTGTTTTTTAAAATGACACCAAACAGAACTTTCAAATTTAAATCGGAATAGTTGGTGGAAAGCTCTCTAAGGAATGCATTACAATTATAGTGACCGCTAACATGACAGGTTCGGTGAAGCGAAAATTGTTAGTGATAGGGAAGTTGAAAAATCCACGTTGCTTTAAAAACATAAAAAATCTACCTGTGACCTATAAAGCAAACAAGAGTGCGTGGATGACTTCAAATACTTTTGAAGAAGCGATAAGAAAGTGGGATATCGAGCTTAAAAGGAAAAAAATTCTTCTGCTTGTAGACAATTATCCTGCTCATCCTATACTGTACGACCCTCAAAACATTGAACTTTGTTTTCTGCCAGCAAACACAACGAGTGTCCTTGAGATCCAGCCGATGGACCAAAGTGTCATCAAGAGTTTGAAAAGCCATTACAGGAGAAGACTTTTGATGGTATTGGTTGAGAACAATGGCAATCTTAAACTAAACATTCTTGACGCCATCCTAGTGATTAGTAAATAATGGGACGAGGTGACGAGCAATACAATAAAACATTCCTTCAAACACGCAGGATACAGACAGGACACAGACAGTTTGAACTTACTATCACTACGGACCGGAAGAGCTAAAGATTTTGAATCATTTGATAAAATTTGTAGCCTACCTACTTACCTAACATAATTTTAAGAGTAAACATGTTTTTAGTTTTCCCAGAACCTGAATTAAAAACTTCCAATTTTATAATTTTCTTCCAAACAACTTTAAAGCCTAAATAGAAACTGTTTACAATTTTTCTGTATACATTACAGTTTTTGGTTACAGTAATCCCCAGATGTTTCATAAAAGAAGGTTGAGCAATTTTTTAATTATAGTTACTTACACTTCTTGTAGGTTGGTACTAACTTGAGTACCTACTCCAGTTACTGAAGCAACTGCATTTCTTTTAAATATTGATATTCTCCCTAAACCAAAGATCTTAGAAGGCATCTTCAATCATCTCAAGAAGACATATCACAAGAGAAGTCTTACAAATTAACTGATATTAGTTAATTTAGCTGTTAAGATTGTAATTCAGTTGATGCAGATATATGAAAATATTATATAAAGCAGATCAATCAAAATATTGAAAAGCCATTCATTAAATTGAAAAAGAATTCAAAAACTTGACAAAATATGAAATGACATGAAATTAAACTATAATATTTTCTGCTCACAGAAATAATTGTATTAGGTATTTAAATTTCATTTTTCTAGTTTAAGTGCCTTACAATCATTGCACATTTCAGTTTGCTGAAGCTTTCTTGTTCTTGAGGCTCAAATATGTTTGTTAAGTCTATTTTATGTCCATTATGAGCTTTCTTTTCTAGCCTCTAGTCCAGTGTTTTATGTTTTCCACTGTTTTTCATTCATTATATCATATTCAACTTAATTCGTATCAAAAGAAAACTCCTGTAAGTGTACAAAATACTGGCAACCTTGAGACAGCCTACTACTATTCTACAATCCTACGTTAGGTATTAAAAATAAAATGAACAACAGGGTTATTAGGAATTCCCACAGCAATGGCCAAAGTTTGGTTCATTGGTCTATACTATATTATACATACCACCATCTTTTTATGTGTTAACTATCAAGTTAAATTATGAAAACATATTTTTGTATTATATGAATAATAATCAGCCATGACTATCATGCTTTACAAAGGTTCAAACTCAATACATGTGTTTAAAAAAGATGTAGCATACATTAAACATTTTTAACCATTGTGAATATTCAATAATGTAATAGTACCAGAAGTTGTTATAGTTAATAGTTACAGAAGTGAATTATTTGTTGACTGCTGCCTGAAACCAATATTAATAAAACTATTTGAGATAGTATAAAATATTTTAGCCTTGACTGTGCAAGCACAATACAATCATATGATTTCATTAGGAATCATTATATAATAAAAACAATAACGTCTATTATTATTTGCTGTGGTATCCTAAAATAAACAATTAAATAATTACCTGCACTGATATTTCCTCTAGGTATACAACCTGTGAAAGTCTTTTCATACAGTTGTGGACACTGCTCCTGTATATTGATAGATTCCCTGTATAATTCGCAACTTGTTAAACATAAGGCCAAAATGAATAAAACAGTTAATTTTTGGAACTCCATGTCATGGAAAGATTTAAAACGTTTTAGTGATACTGGCAATACACCCTTAAAATTTGCACAGTTAACTGATATGTGAATTTACAATTGCCGAATGCATTAATGAAAGACCCGACACTTTCACAAATAACAACAAAAACTTGGAATCACCTGCCAGTGTTAAAACCTGTCAACATGACAATTAAATTTAATAAATAACATTCAATAACATTTAAGAGTTTTGGGTAAACGAGAATTTCTCGAATTGACGTGTACACATTATTGACAGTTAACCCGATTCATCATATGCGTAGATTTTTTATTTTTGATTAATATTAGAAGTAATTATTATTATTAGAAGTTATTAACAATAATAACAGAAGATTTATAAAAATTAATGGATATTGCAATAATATGATCTTGTAATTTCAACAATAAATTTTGTAAATAAAGTATTTTCTTAAAGAAACCCAGTTTTATCCTAAACATCATATTGAAACAATATTTATGATTATTTTTAAATAATTTATTTAACTTAGACTTAGACAAGTTTTTATTACAGGATGTGGTTTACACATATTCTCTTTAATGTTACTTAATTAGTACTAAATTAATTAATATAAGTTTATTTTCTGATGTAAAACATTGGAACTTTAAATTTGTTTCTCTAGAATGATGACACCATTGTAACTTTTTTTGCGTATACCAATGACCATTAACTATGTTTTATGAAATGTGGTTGACTTCTTATAATGAAGAAGACCATCAGAATTTTTTCAAAAGTATGTGTATTATCAAAAATAATATTTTTGGCAATAAACATCTTAGTTTTACAAAAAAAAATGATAAAATATTATTAAAGATTACTTAAAAATACTTAACTAACTAGTAAAAAAGAAACAAAAGGGAAATCCTTGACATAATTTTCAATGTTGCCATTTAGAATCAAGGCTAAAACTGTCACGACTTTTGGATGACTCATACATCGATGATGTCATTCTAGAATTTCTACAACACAAATTGATACAGAATAGTTTTTTTTTATTCAACACAAAGAAAGAATCATAATACACATTGGAACAATTACCAGAATAAACATTGTTTTTGTTTTCTATACAACGCATGAAAAATTTATTTAAGACAATAAAAAGTAAGTACCTATACTGTTGTTTATTACAATATAACCAATTATGCTTGATTGCATCCTTTTATGTTGTAATTATTGTGCAAAAAAGTTATGCATACTTTTGTATAATAGTTTTAAACAAAGTAGTAGTAAATAATATAATTTCTAATCTTTGTTTAAAGTGTAAAGAATTTAAAAATATTTTTCTTTTCAGCCTTGTATGGATATAAGTGACAATCTTTACTACAGTCTTCTGAGTCTTGTAATTCTTCCAGTATATTTATTCTTCACTTTGTGGAGTTGGTTAGGTTGGGAATTATTTAAAAACAATTGAAGAATGAGTCAAGATCTAAACTTATCTTTCAAAAACATGAAAAAGAACCTTACACTAGACCTAAACCAAAAAAAGCTAAATTTGCCCACCACAAGTGGTCTATTGTCTTCCCCTGATCTGAATCTACTTAAAGTTGATACTCCAGAATTAGAGAGTATGATTTTAGCTAATGGGATGACTAATACACCAACACCTTCATTACTGTTTCCCAGAGCTGTTACAGCTGAACAAGAAAAATTTGCTGGTGGTTTTGTTGAAGCATTAAGTCACTTACACAACAGTAATTCCCAGCAAGGTTCAGACAGTAATAGTAGCACAATCTACAATGATTCATTTATACCCCATATCAAAGAAGAACCTCAAACAGTTCCTAATATTAATCAAGTGAGTATTTATACACATTTTTTTATTAGCATATTGAGCAAATAATCCTATATACAGATTTAGTTGAAACAAATAACAGAAGTTGAATTAAGTAACATTACAAACAATAGTCAGTTTGTCTTCTCGTGTTCATTCCAGGTTTAAGCATTTATTTATTGTATATTCTGGCATCAAACTTCCCTCCATATTTTCATAGATGATAAAAGTGCCCTACACTTCTTGGTATTGATCTTCATATGTTCTCCTTATATATAGTTTCCATTTTGTTTTGTATTCTTGTATTTCCTGATTGGTTGAATTTACATTCAGTTTATGTTTATCTATCAGATGTTGCAATGCCAGCCTTCTGGGAAATGTCATATCACTAGCTTGAGTTCTAGTTATTTACATCATTTACCCAGCTTTTTGAACCAGGATATTTGTCATCTACCAGGACCCATTTTTCCTTTGATTTTATGCTTCATAATGAGCTTTACTAACTTGTACTTTTTAAGTATGTACCTCAAATATGCTCTTTGTGTAACTTTCTCCTTTTAATGGTGTAACACCATTTGTTTGTAATATGATTGGTTCATGGTATTTTCAAAATTCTCATAAAGAGCTACATCTCAAAAGCCTCCAGCTTTCTCATTAAGCCAATATTAACAGTCTAAGCTTAGGCACCATAAAGAAGAATAGAGTAGATATAATATTTTACCATCCAATATCGGATTTGTAGATTGAGTCTTTGTTTACTCAAAAATTTCCTCATCTTGGAAGCTGCTCTTGATTGCTATATTGATCAAATTTCTGATTTTGGACTTAGATCTTCAGTAAGCCAGACTCCTAATTATTTTATTTTGTCCACTTGTTCAATATCTTCATTTTTTATCTGGATCCTTAATATGACTTTACCCCTCTTACTGATAACCATGGTTCTTGTTTTCTTTATGTTTATTGTTAAACCAAACTGTTCCCCATTATCATCACCATAACAAATGTTATTTATATTTTTTGACCATTTATTGATTCTGTCTGTACGGTTTTTAAGTGCTTGTGTCAATAACTCTTCGGAGCATATATTAAATAGTAATGATGAAAATACACCTTGCCTCACTTCTTTACTTATCTGTTGTGCATCTGTGCTATTTCCATCTATGTTACCGCAACTTGTTGGTTCCAATAGAAATTTTTCACTATGTTAATATTGTTTTTGTCGAGTCCTTTTCGCTTGACAAAAAGGTCTTTTTGTTGGTCCCAACATTTTTGAGCAAGAGTTATGAAACTATACAGAGCTTCTACTGTTCCGAAGCCATTATGAAAGCCAAACTGTCTATTATTCATATATTATTCACGCTTTCCGAATATTCTAGCATGTATAACCTAAAAAATTTTTAGAGAACAAAAGTTGATAGCAGCTATTCTGTAGATTTCTCACCAGATTTGTATATGTTGTTAAAGAGGTTGTAATTTCAGTTATTGCACTGAAATTGTCTTCATCTATAAATTTAATCAGCTCGATGTGAACTTTATCTGGCCCAGGGGTTCTGCCAGATTTCAAGTTGTTTATCGCATGTTGGACTTCCAATTTTAATATTAATGGAGCTTCCTCGCTATCAATTTGTATTGGCTGTGTTCTTGTGTTCATGAAAAGATCTTCAGTATATTTAGTCCATACTTATTTTATTTCAATTATTAATAGGTTTATTGTTTTTGTCAATTAATTGGTTAGGTGTGTTTGTTGGTGATTTTCCAGATAATTCTCTTACTGTTTAATGTAAATTATAATAATAATGTTTTATTGTGCAATTCTTCCATATCAGTGCATGTTTCCATCATCCATTTTTTCTTAGCCTCTTTAATTTTGTTATTACTTTTTGTTTTTCTTTGTATTTATCTGGGATTTTGTTTCTATATTTTCTTCTTTGTTCCATTATTTCCAGTATTTCTTGAGTCAAGGTTTTCAGCTTTATCTTAAGAAACTGAGTATTCAACTTAGAACTTTTGGATTTTATTATGTTTTTTACTCTCAGTCTCATTTTTGAGACAAGAAGGTTATGTCTGACCCAGCTTCCACATTAATATAACAGAGAAGGTCATTAAGTTTTATTATTGTATTGTTTCTTGTCTTGTTCTTAAATGTTCTGTGAATTGTTTCTCATATATACTGAAAGCTGTCAGTGTGTCAATCTTTCTTGAAACTTGTCTAACACCCTAGGTATTTAAAATGACTCACTTATTTTAGTGGATAGTCATCAATTACTATTTTTGTTCTTATGGCTCAAAATGCCATAATCTATTAGTTGATGTCTCAGTTCTCAAAATCTCAATAAAAAAATAATAAGTGTCATTAGTTTATACATATATACCTCCAAATGTAGTGTTAATTATCTCAATATATAACAAATCCTGTCAATTTTAGCATGTGTATTTAGTTTTGCAAAATAAACAAGCTGAAAAACTCTTTTAATACATAATTTTCTTGCTTTTGAATCAAATCCAAGTGATTAATAATTGCTTTGTTTTACAGTCCCCTCCAATGTCTCCTGTTGATATGGAATACCAAGAACGCATGAAATTGGAGAGAAAAAGACAAAGGAATCGCCTTGCTGCCTCTAAATGCAGATCAAGAAAACTGGAAAGGATTTCAAAATTGGAAGACAAAGTCAAATTGCTAAAATGTGAAAATGTAGAACTTGGATCTATTGTTAATCAACTCAAAGAAACTGTAGGGCTTCTTAAACTTGAAGTCATTGAACACAATAAGGCTGGTTGTCCTATTATTAATATGTATTAGGTATATTTTAACAAAAATATTGTTGGTGCTAAGAAAATATAGATATATTTAATAGTTTGCATATTTTTATAACAGTTGTTTGATAAATGATATATTGCATCATTTTATTAACAATATACCTGTCCAATGTATTCCAAAATTTTTGTGGTCAAGAACAAGAGAAGATTATTAAACAAAATCATTACTAAAATTCTTGGTAACCTTTGGAAGTCTACTGAAAGTACAGTACAGTAATACTTGAAACATCTGTTTAATAATCTTCAACTTAAATTTGTCAAACAACTACAATATACAATTTTCTTAGTCATGTTAAAGTGAATTGTGATTTTTTGAAGTACCTAGTACTTAAGAATAATTTGTCAACAGTAAAAACATTGTTAGTTTGACTACAAAAATTATATTTTAGTACAATTTGTACAAGATTGTAAAAATATTGCAAAAAATCAAATATTTGAATGCCATTCTTGTGATATCAGAAGTTACACTGATTAACAGATTTCAATTTGAAGAATCCTGTTAACAACCTTTTTATTCAATTTGATGCTTTCCTTCCATCCTCTGGTTTATGCGTTGATATATGAATGTGATAACTTCTGAAGTATTTTGTATTTACAATACAGTTTAAAGAATAATAAATAATTACACTATTTTTAAGTATATTATGTTACAATGAGATTTATTGCATTCATGTAACTTTATAAAGTGTAAATTCTTTTAACATCAGTGTTGGTATATCAAAATTATTTAACTTGATATAAAATATTTTTCTGTGAAAAAATGTTAAATTATGGTATGTCTCTCTTTTGCAATATTTTTGGTTTATCTAGAAAGTTGAGTATTAAGATATATTTATATAAATTTAGATTTAAGGTTTTGTACTTTGTCTAAATGATATGTTACCATAAGCATATGAATCGATATTGTATGCCTTTCAAATTATATTAATTATATTAGTAAGTAATGCTAAAATAAAGTATTTATACATATAGTTCTGTTTTTTAATTCATCTTAATTTAATAATGATTTAAAATGTCAAGAATGGCAGAGGAATGGGGACTAAATCTTATGATAACCTTCTTTAAGAAAGACAAAAAAAATTGCAATCGGAGGATAAACCTGTTAAACACCATTCTGAAATATATCAAGAAAAGTATTAACAAATGAACTGATGAAAATATCTAATATATCATCATTACTCTCGTCGATTCCTGGCAACTTCCATCTCCTTCGTGATCCTCTGCTTCTTGTACCATCTGGTTTTGAAAATGTAAATCTCTTCGTGTATTCGTGATCTGACATCCTAGCAATGTATTATTATTAATGTATTATTAATTATTAGCAATGTATTAATATATAATGTATCCCCATCTAAGTCTTCACACTTTAACAAATTTCACAATATCTGGATCGGTGTATAACTAATACAGTTCAAAGTCCTTCGTACGCCATAGCCCATTTTCATTTACGGCCCCAAAAATCTTCCTAAGAATTTTCCTCAAAAATACCAAGAAGTCTTGTCATCATTTTGAGGTAAGCGTTCAGCTCCATATACAAAACTGGTGTTATTAAGGACTTGTATATATTGAGCTTTACTGCACATTTTATATTTTTATTTTTTAAATGTCTCTGGAGAGCGCGAACAATTCTATTTGCTATTGCTATGCTGTTTTTATTTCGTCGCTTGTCGTGTTTGTTGCGTTTACTAGCGATCCAAGATATGTGAATTCTTTGACTTGCTCAAAGGTATGGTTGTTAATTTGAATTCTCTGTTTGATATTTTGGGGGTTTTTAGAAACCAACATATATTTGGTTTCTTCATCGTTTACCACAAGTCCTAATTCACTTTGCCGCGTCCGCAAGCTTTGTAAAACACTGCACCATGACATACTTCTGCCCATATAACTATATCGTCAGCAAATGCGAGAACTTGTGTCGATCTATTAAAAATAGTTCCATTCATTCTAATATTTAATTGTCTGATTGCCTATTCCAAGGCAATATTAAAGAGGAGACACGCCAGCGCGTCCCCCTAGACCATTACTAATGTCAAAGAACGTAGAATATTCTCCTTCAATTCTAACACATGAGCTTACATTTTACATTGTTAGTTGGGTCACTTTGGGGGGCCCCAAAGTCTATCATTGCATTAAATAATGCAGTTCTTTTCACACTGTCAGGTTGCTTTGAACTAGACGAAGAGATGGTGTGTGTGTCTATGTAATATTCTAGTGACTTTTCTAGAATCTGTCTATGGGCTTGAATTTGATGTGTAGTTAAATTTCCAGCAGTAAATCCGCATTGATATTGACCAACAATATCCTTTGTGGAATAAGTCTTAATGCTAACAGAGTAATGCCTCTATAGTTCTTACACTCCAGTTGATCACCCTTTTTATGCAACGAACATATTATTCCCTTTAGCCACTCTTCCTGTACCAATTCATTCCATCATCTAATATATCAGGTGAAGAAAAATTCAGAAGCGAAAGACCTCTAAATCAAACAAAGAGCTGAGAAATCAAAAGATCACTACAAACTAGTGTACCCACCCAGTTAAAAATATTAGGCCTGAAAAAGTTGAATCAATTTAATGCTTTCTGATAAAGATATTGTTTTTGCACTGCATAAATATACATCGATGACGATTTTCCGACACGCGAATAATTCCGCAAACTTGCAACGGTTGGCTTTGTTTATTATCCTTCTTCTTCAAGTTCCGCTCCTATCGGAGATTGGAAATCATTCTAGCAAAATTATAATTTTGTTTGCCACGCGCCTAAAATATTTCAATTGAACTGCATTCAAACCATTTACATAGATTGCGTAGCCACGAGATTTTACGTCTTTCTACGCTTTTTCTGTCTTTGATTTTGCCGTGCATTACATTACTTAATAGTGCGCATTTTTCGCCTCTCATGATGTGTCCCAAGTATTTCAACTTCCTTATTTTTATGGAATTTAAAACTTAGCATTGTTTTCCTAGATATTTGAGAACTTGTGCGTCTGTTTTGCGATTCATCAACACCACATTGTGAATGCTTCCAGGTTTGTAATATTGGATTGTTTCAGCGTTCAGGCCTCAACCTCAGACAAAAGGCTGATGAAAATAACATTGAAGCATTCTTATCCGAAGAGTTATTATTAATATTGCGATTACAGAAAAGTTTTCGCATTCTGTTAAAAGTTGTCCATGCAATTTCAATGCAGGATGTTATTTATTTTGTTTGGATCAGTATCTTCTGTGATCCATGCTCCAAGGTATTTTTAGATAGTGAAGAATATGAAGATATTTGTTCAATTGCTGTGTTGTCTAGTAGGTTTTCTTCAAATTTATTTTTAGTCAATAACCGTTCAATAAGTATATATTTAGTTGTTCAGCAAGGTGTTGCAGTTTTTCTAGTATTCCCGCCAGAACGACGGTATCGTCAGCATATCTTATGTTATTAAGTGACTCACCATTTATTAGGCCCTCATTGACTTCGGCCAACGCTAATTCTGAGACGGCTTCACTATATACCTTGTAGCATTTTCAATTTCATTGATTCTTTCGAGTATATTGAAACCTCGTATAAAAAAATATATCAAAAACTCCTTATAAATTTTTAAAAAATGAAACGAAGAATTTTTCCGTGTTGTTAGTTTGTATCTTTCAAAGTACCCAAAAGTGTTTCGTCGCCGAGTAATAAAACCATTTGAGAGTTCTTTATTTTATTTCGGCAATTTCTTTTCAAGTTTATACGTCGCAAAAGGATATGTACGCCGTTTCGTTGATTTTGCTATGTCAAGTGTTTGTTTATTTTCAAGTTATGCGATCAATTTTAATATATAATTTCGTCACTATCGTTGGAACCGCGGTGAAAAGCGGTCAACGTCATGTCCGAATTTGACTTCAAATTCGAAATGTTCCTCGTTGTTTGTGTTTTTTTAAGAAGACGTTTGTTCGTCTTTTTTTATGAAGAAAATGTGTAGCAGTGTGAAGTTAATGATTCAGTAAATGTTTGAGTGAGGAATGGAAGAATCGTCGATTCCATCCTCGTTTTGTTTCTCCCTGGTTATCATCCAAGGCTTTTGGCAGTATGGAGATATGAAGATAGATAGTTGTGTTCATTGCACAGAGAGTAAAGCCCTCAGTTCCAGTTATGGTTTCGGATATTCCAGTGGCGTCTGGTTCCACAAATTCTAGTGCATTTTGTTAGTGAAAATCCAGGTAACTTTTTGATCAAATTTTAAAGTAAAGACAGACAATTTGTTTTGAATTAAATAATTGCTTTCGTTGACATTTAAAATTGTAAATTTTAGGTTTTGAGTTGAGCTGTCAATTTGTGTGTTTAGTTTTTTTTTTAAATTTAATGTTAACTTGTGACAGCTCGTTTTTTATTATTTTTTTTTACTATTAGTTTGTTTTATTTTTAAACAAGGTTAACCTCCATATAAATTTTTTAAGATTATGTAGTATCTCCAACTCTTGGAGTTTGTAAGCGGATGACACGTAAGTTTTTGTATTTCTCCATTTTGTAACTGTTTGTGGTGACACATAAATAAAGGTTAAATTTTGTTGTCTTAACTTTTTATTTATTTTTTTGAGCCAAACCTTTTTTGATTCTTATTTGAAAAAGATATGTTTTATATGTTTTGATTTGTTTTCTAATTATTTCCCTAGTTACAACCAGTGGTTGTAATAGGTATAATTAGGCACCTCAAGTGGCGCCCTATATTAAATTCCTTGAGGTGTTTCTTGTTTATTTTTATTGTGTTTGTTCCAAGAGATTAATGACCCCTTTATTTCATTTTCTTGTAGTTGCCCCATTCTAACCCCTTTATCTTTTACTTATCCACGACCCCAGCTCTCCTACCAAACCCTGAGTGTACCCTTCCCCCAATTTTCTACCCCCTTGTATTAATGCCCCCTGTGGTAGGCAAAATATTATCGTTACAACCTTGGAGATATTCCCCTAGACCTCTCTATCACACCTTCGCTTCTTTCACTCGACATCCTCTCATACAGCTTACTTATGCTCGAAAAATAGGCCGATACGTTCCAACCCTTTAGGTAGGAGTACGAGCATAAAGGTTTTCCAAGGCTCCGAAAATACCTTCGCCTCAAGCAGTGCGTTCATGTGACCCAAAAGTCAAGCAGGCTCCAGCCGTTCCAAACATTTAACCGCCTCTACTGCTATACCGGGAGCCTTACGACTTCATTGCCGACGCAAGTTCCTCTGGAAAGAGTATATAGTTATTTAACAAAACTCACCTTAAAGTCACCCTCATCACTCCAGCAGTTGACGAATGTTGATTTCGATACATCGAACTTCACTAAAAAATTCAGGACTTCATAAGCAAACATTTTCTTTGTTGCTCGGAAACGAGCCATTTTTTTTTGTATTGTATTTACCCGATAATTGTTTTATCATCATTTTTAGTAGTACCTACCTAATGTCTTTTGTTGTTCGTTCCATAATTCAGGTGAATTATTGGAATCAACAAATGACGTAGTATTCCCAATGTTCCATGATACAAACCGCATCGATTTGTTGACTATTGGATAACAAAGTCATTCTTCAAGATGTTGAATCATATCGACAGATGACTCAATCAAAAAGTCAATAACAAATGACTTGGTTGCGACAGAGAGGTGTTTTTACGCTTCGGGTCCGTTCGATGAAATTGCGCCTTATATGATTCTTGGTACAATTCCAATGACTCTTATAATATATTGGTTGATAATGTTGACATAATATGTACATTTACATCAATAAAAGATCAAAGGAAAATCATTTGCCTTTTTTGCTAGAGGATGGGACACTCTCGTTTTGATTGTATTTGTTTTGTTCATGGTGGAATGTTGGACGCAATTGTTAATATTCTTTTTTATACCATTATTGTTCCGCTAACTGCTCCAGCATCATGTTTTATATTATTCTGTCCATAAACATCAGATTTATAATTACAAACTCAGATGAATTATAATAATTTTTAATAACTAGTTTCTTCAAAATTCCGATTTATGTTTCAAGTACAAACCGCACCAATTCGCTTATTATTGGATGGTGACTACATTGTTCGATAAGTTGATTCTTGTTAAAAGCTGACGTATGCTCTCCAGCAACGGTGATAAAAGTGCATAATGCGGGTAGGCGGTTTTCTTCTTGTCGGTTAATGTTTCTTCAGATGAAAACTTTGTATGCATATTCTCTTCACAATACTCAATAAAAAGGACAAAGATAGGGATTCAATAAAAACGACACCATAAACAATCTCAAAAAACATTTATTTGGTATAACAATTTACTAATAAAGGCTAAAATCGTAAAAAGTTTGAATCACAGTACGTTGGTAAGCAGATATTACGAGGTATTTTTGTTATACTCCACAAAATCCATCAAAGAATATTCAATTTACCAAGAATTCGGCAAGATGTTAGTTCACTTTATTAAATCTTGACGATCCAGAAAGGAAATATCGTTACAAGTCGATTCTATTGATAAAAGTCTTCACACTTAAAAAATTTCACTAGGAATGCAAAAAAATATATATTTAGATTACTAATACATAAATTTTTTTAATGCCACATTACGTGCCATGCTATTAATCTAAAAATTTGTTTTAATGGAATGTTTTTGTATCTACAGGGGGTTAAAGGATAATGTCTTTAAGTTTTTGCGATTTGGTTCCAAATTCTACTACAAATCAAAAATTGACAGGGTAAAATGTTCCGACTATTTTCATAATCTGATAAAAGAATTATACTTTAGAACGTTAGTATTATTCATCTAACTACATTCTGATTTTTTAGGGTTTCGCCAACTTCCGATAGGATCAATCAAATCAGTGACCACGAGCCGCAACTTCCAGCTCTTACTGTATTACTTAGCCATTCGCAGATACGATTCACTCGCGTATTCAAAATCGCAGATCCATTTTTGGTTTCCAAATTACTACGCCTAAATTTTTTCTGGCCAGCGTGTGGTTTAAATCATGAGCTCACTAAATTACTCAAATAGAACTGAATCATTTCTATAAGAGGTCTTCTACTGACGAGAGATACTGACACCGTAGTCGAACTACAAAAAATTATAGAAGTTAGAACTAAGTAAATTTCGAAACCGTCCATGTGTGGAACCGGTCTGTAGTGGTGAATGATGCGTGTCTGATTCCCACTACAAACATAAAACAAAACGAATATACCAACTACAAAGGTCGTCTATCTAATTGCAAACTACGGAGTAGTAATTTGGTCTAGTACAGTACCTCTTACTTAGCAACGTAATCCTTAGTAGTACGGAATCGATATTAAACTGTATATAGACTGTAAAATTATTTAATTTGGGATCCAAATTAGATCGTTTTCGATGAGTAATTATTATTCATAAATATAAAATGAAGATGAATTTGTAGCGGTATTTAAACCAAATCTCAAAAGCATAGATGTCAGTTTTGGGACACCCTGTATATTTAGTAATTCATGCTTTAAATAAATGTAATGACTGTAACTTAAAGTAATGGCTAATGATTTGTGATCAAAATCGATTTTGTTAAAACTATTTAACATATCACTGTCGTTATGTGTCTCCTTATTAGATATGTTCATTAATCGCGAGGATACTGTACAGTATGTACAATGTACAGTAAACAGACATTAGGAGGAAGTGCTAGTACACTGTTATAGCGATAAAAGAACATATCTATAAACGTTTTTTATAAAACTTTCAGAATCTTTTTAATTTTTATGTTGATCTTTTTTATTACTGGAAAGTACCTTATTTCTAAATGACAAAGGATTTAATAAAGATATTTATCAGAAACGATTACAGAAATATAACAAAACACTAGGTAAAAGTCTTTTACAAAAAATAGGAGAAATACGACATTGGAGCAATATTTAAATCAACTAAAACCTTAAGATAAATGAATATAAATATGATAAATCAACATTTGAAAAACAATTACTACTTACGTTGAAGTATAACTAAATAGGTCGAAAGTACAACCAAAAATATCGATACATTTTTGGCAAAGTAACGTAAGTCACCAAACACGATTTGCAGAAAAAACAATTTTGTAATTTAACCTGGTTAAAATTATTTAAATTATGACTGAAAAATCTTGTCCTACATGTTCTAAAAAAGGTTTAAAGTAATTCTACGCTTACTACACTTGGCAGTACCTTTTTAACAATAAGAGTGTTAGTTTAATTGAAAAACATGATTTTCGCCAAAAATGTCACTTACGTTACTTTGCCAAAAATGTATCGGTATGTTTTAACTTAAACTGTATGTAGCTAAATGTATATGGACATTTTTTATTCAAAATGACTTTCTGATCGCACTGAGCGGTGGATGTGTAGTGTCGTCGCAGTTTGTCATTGGTTAGAAATTAATTTCTAGCCAATGACAAGCTGAGCCGACACGACACACCTACCGATCAATGTGACCTCGAGCTTGCTGAATGGATGCAAACAGCCCAGAATAGATAACATAACACTGAAGGAAAGAGGGAATCCTATGTTCAAAGGTGGACATTCTTATCTGTTGGATTTAAATACATTAAGATATATTCTAACAAAGACTAAACCTAAACTGAACAAGAAGAAACAACTGATTGTGTAGATTAAATAACTTTTTAATGCGAAAACTTTCATTTTGAGTGATACCTAAAGACCAATAAATGACTGAATGAATGAATTTTACATCAAAAACAGGGAATATGGTATATCTCAGATTTAAAAATAGTACTACAGTATTAAGATTGCACAGTATCTTTTTTCTAGTTCTCCTCATGATTCACAATATAGGTAACTACTAATGGGAAACTTTTGATGTCACGATTAAACTGTGTGAGATTAAAAAATACCAACTACATGTTAACATTACTTGTTCAATATAAACCCCTGATTTTCCTTTGTAATCAAAGGAGGTAGTGGAAAAGACACAACGAAATAACATTGAGACTGGTATTGACATTGAAAAATTCAAAACTTATTCTACTGCAAAACAAATCGATCATCATGGGACGTTCGATAGATTTAAAACAATAAAAATTATAGTTAAGTCTGTATACAGTAGTTAAATAGGGAGGCACACACAATAAGCGCACTTTCAATGCAATGCAGCAAACAACAATTATGGTGAAGTTTCGTCAAGCATATTTTCAAAGGACGCACTTTAGAAACAAGAAAACAGTGGTGTGCGTAGCAGATAACATTTAGACGTAATTAACACTTTGTCGACATGCTAAACAAGCCATACATTCCAATCGTATCACGGATCGGGAAACCCGGTAACCCGACGAGAAAATAAGTCATTTCGTTCCACCATAAAAGAACTTTGCTAAAAAATAACATGTCATAAATGATCAGAACTTCCGCATTAGTAAGTCTTTGAATCCATGGTGTTTTGAGCAATCTTTAACGTCCAGTTGTCCATTCCATACAACAAAGTAGGTAAAACGTAAGATTTTTATGCTTTTGTAGGATTCTTCTCGTCACTTCTTCTTATAGTGCCGTGCACCTATATTGCGTTGGCGAATTATCTAGGCCAGATATCTGTCTTTTGAGGCATGCAAAAAATCGCCAGTATTATTTAAGCCTGTCCTGTTCTTTATATTCTATTCTGTAGCCGTGACATTTGTTTGCGACCTATTTCTCTTGCCCACAAGCTTTTCTTGGATAATTAGTGGAGGAATTGGCCCAGATATCAAATTTTCCGTACCTTGATCATGTTAAGTAATCCTCTCAGTATTCGCCTTTCTAAGACTTCCTTGTTTCTCACCCTCCCTGTCCATGGTAAACGGAACATTATTCGCAAGTTCCATATTTCCAAGGCCTCCAACTTGTTAATTTACAATATTTAAGGATACCACTTATATACATAAGGATAAAATAATTATGTTATTCATTAAATATAAATAAATGTAAATACATTAGGAAAACAAAAATTAATCGGACCAAATAACACACAAAAAAGACATTAAATGTAACAAAGCATAATTAAAGTTGCTGTTGGTCCCATATTAATATATGTATAATAAATAATTAAATCATTCCATTAAACTATTGCAAGTTAGAATAAAGATGCAAATTTTAATTAAAATGCCAACAATAATCATAATTACTAATATAATAAAACGAACTACATGAAAATACACAAAATGCAAATTGTTATATAATTAGATTACTACATCATGCCATTGCGTTGTTAAAGCAGTTCCCATTTCAGAAAAATTCACTATACTTAAGATCGAAATATAGTTTTCTTCTACAAATTTTGATACAAGTCATTAATATCATAATTATGTCTTAGCTGCGAAATACTACTGCTTAATATTAGCTGCAACACCTATGGATTTTCGCCTAACCATATTTCTTCTTCTGTGAATGCGGATTCATTACTCAATATTGGCGTCCATCATGGCCATTCGTACTTTATTGGAAGCTGTACGGAAAAGCTCTGTATATTCTTTTACCAGGTATTTTTCATTAGATTATTTTTACACTTCAAACCCGCTGTCACTTCTGGTTCAAAGAGTTCCATATCATTATTTAGTTTACTTACTTCTTCTTTAATTACATGGTCCTTTCAAGAAATTCTGATTATATTATAAATCCACATTTCCAATGCCTTATTTTTTTTTGTGGATGCATCTATAGGGATCCATGTTTCAGCATCGTGGAGAGATCCTAATAAAACACAGCTTTTAACTAGCTGAAGAACTGTTGGAAAACCAATAATAATTTTATAACTTTGTATTATTTTAAATGAAATTTAATGTATTACATTATTGGTCTTACCACGATTTTATATATTCTGGTTTTCCCTTCGGTAGATAAAAAATTATTACTGCAAAGAGAGTTTCGCAAGCATCCAGATATTCTACTCGCTTCAAGTATTTGTTGTCTTCCCTCTTTCTCTATTTTCCAGTTAGTGGATAATTTATTTAGTAGATACTCAGTATCTATCAGCTGCTCAATTATCTTGTGTCCAATTGTCAGATGGCAACGAATAGGTTCCTTTGCAATTACTATAAGTTTCTATGAATATTTTTATGTTATAATTTAAGGTAGTAGTACAAAATTGCATAATAAAATATCATGATACAATTCTGGATTATAAAACATATTTTTCAATCATGTCGGACAGCGGAAATAAGTTTACTTTTTCACGTTTGAAATTTCCCTACATTTCTTAAACTCAGAAAATTTGACGACGCTGAACGGTCAAAATAAAACTAAGCAGCTATCCAATGACGTATAACCAAATTTGCAGAAAAATCATATATACTCGTTTAATTATTTAAAAATCTAAAAATACTGTTTTAAATGAACTGCTTTCAACACGCTCTTGAACAATTGATTATTCTTTACTGAAAAAATACATTTTTTAATATTCAGTGTCTCTGTCTATAAATTGCAAGCATGTACCTTTTGCAAAATCGTAACTACCGAAGAAAATACAACCCCCTAAAGTGATCCACGTAACTCTGGGAACAAAGCCTGAAAATAACCTGAAAAAAAATATACCTATTACAGGATAATGAGCTACTGGTGTTTAATTGATTTGTCTGTATATATCTTTTTGATTTTTTTTGTGACTTAAATATTGTTGTTCTGAAGCTATTTTCTTGTGGCATTTTAAATTAATTACTATTTAACTGGGAATAAGCCACAATTAAAGATAAAAATACGTTTATTGACGTTTCAATTTCCACTTAGGAAATCGTTCTCAAAATACAAACAGTAAATTAAACAAATTTTGTTTTTTGTTACATAGTGAAAAATTCTTCTAATAATTTAATTTTATCTGACTCATTTATATTGACAATTCAGACATACATTATGCATTTTAAAGTAGACGACTTTAAAATGATATTGCCAATATTATTGAGTTGCGCTCCTGGGACGACTTTACTTATAAGATAGTTCATTCGATTACATGAAATCAACTTTAACTTGAGAATATCCGTCAGAAAAAAAATGATAGCATGTAATTCGTCTTTAAAAAGACAAACACATGACATGATGGCAGTAAAATTCTCCTGTTAGTGATTCCATAGTAAATTATGAGGGAGAAACCAGGAAAAAAACCTCATAATACTATCCCGACACTGTAAGTATTTGTTCGTGAATTTAGTTTACCTTCAACAAACATCAAAAATTCTGATTTTATATGTTACGTTATTTAAAAACATAAATGATGTATCCTCTATATGTTACTGACTTACTAATACTGGTATTTTCTTATTAATAACTTCCTCTTTCAATATTGGTAACCAGATCCTACTACATTCTGCCGACGAATTTGCGACACAATTGGCCTGATTTAGCATAATTAGAGCCGCTTCTTTGATTTTTCTTTTTTTACCATCCGTTTCTTTTAGGACTACTTCTTCTTAGCCTTCTGTCGTCCATGTTTGGACATAGGCCTCTCCCAACTCCTTCCATCGGTCTCTATCCTGAGCAACATATTTCCAATTTGTTCCGGCTATTCTTTAATGTCATCAACCCATCTCATCTGTGGTCTTCCTCTTGGTCGTTTACTTTCGTAAGGAAGTATTCCATACAGAATGGAATAGAAGTCGGAAAATTGGCATTTGTAAATGTAAGTGTGCAACTAAACTAAGTGGTTTAGAACAAATATTTTTAAAAGTACTGAAGGCTATCTACTTTCTATTTAACAAATTACACATGCTGGTTGTTAAAAATCTATGTGACACAATGGTTATAGAAAAAACTTAATCAAGAAAAATAAATGGATGACAGACGATATCTTGAAATTAATGGAACAACGTCGAATGATAAAATCTAATGTAACAGAATATAGACACCTGCAGAGAAGAATAAAAAAGGAGATCAAATTAGCCAAAGAAAAATGGATGAGAGAAAGGTGCAACGAAATGGAGGATGTAATATCTAAACACGACTTTTAATGTGCACAAAAAACTAAAAGAAATGAGTAACATATTTAAAAAACGAGTTCCCTCTGTACTCGTTGACAATAACAAAATTATTTTAAATGAGCACGAAATAAGAAAAGAATGGCTGCTGTATATATTAGAGTTGTTTGAAGATGACAGGAATAATATTGTCGAATTCAAAACTGTACTGACGGCCCAGAAATTATGAAATGCGAGGTAGAACACGCTATAAATAATGCTAAAATTAGAAAAGTTTTTAGTCCAGATGATACACCAACTGAGTTGCTGAAACTAATAAAGAATGATAACATAAAAGTAGTAGTAAGAACTACTACTACTAGTTTTAGAAATGCTATGGGAACCGGAGAGCACTTTTTTGCGCTTAACATACTATTACAAAAATGCCGTAACCAAAGAAAAGATGTATTTGCATGTTTCGTGGACTTCGAAAAGGCATTCGATAAAATTAATGCAAATATTGAAAAATATCGGGTGACATACATATCCATACAGATGACAAGGATATTCGTGTCCTTAAAAATTTGTACTGGAATCAAACTGCTATCGTAAAAATTGGAGATAACTACACCGATGAAATCTCTATACAACGAGGAGTCAGACAAGGTTGCATTTTGTCGCCAACATTGTTCAATGATTACTCGGACCAGTTATTTAAAAAGGCACTTGAGGGACAACCATATGGAATAAAAATCAACGGGGGACTACTTAATGTGATTAGATATGCAGACGATACAGTAATTCTATCAGATAATATTGAAGGTCTTCAAATTCTGCTTGATCGTATTCACGAGATAGGAGAGGAAATGAGCATTAAAATAAACTCAAACAAAACCAAATTTATAGTGTTTAGTCGTTACCCACATCCCGATGCAAAGCTTAAATTAAACGGAGTCCAAGTTGACAAAGTTCACAAAATGACATATTTAGGAACTGTGATAACGGACTAACTAGATCCAGACATAGAAATAAAACGTAGAATAGCAATGACTAAAACTATTTTTATGAAAATGAAGTCATTTCTTTGCAATAAAAATCTCAGCTTAGAACTAAGGCAAAGAATGGTTAAGTGCTATGTTTGGTCCGTACTTTTGTATAGTGCAGAAGTGTGGACGCTAAAAGTACCGATCATGAACAAAATTGAAGCATTGGAAATGTGGGTTCATATACGAATGCTGAAGATACCTTGGACAGCAAGGAAAACTAATGAAGAAGTACTAAAGAGCGCCAACAAAGATAGAGAACTGCTAAAGACTGTTAAACATCGAAAAATCTTTTATCTGGGACATGTAGTAAGGGGAAGTCGATATAAAATATTACAACTGATTCTTAAAGGCAAAATAGAGGGCCGTGCAGGAAGAAAACAAGTTTCTTGGTTAAAAAACATACGTGAATGGACTCAAATACCAAATGCAGGACAATTATTCCATATTGCAGACGATCGAGAAGCCTTCGCAATGGTAATCGCCAACGTCGGATAATTCTGATATGGCACGCGAAGAAGAAGAATATGTGGGAACCATTTCAAACACCTATACCTAACTCAGAAACATAAAAATGTGACTTAAGCAAATTTTGCACTGACCCTTACAAATATTTATTATTTTATATAATTCCATGTAAATACTTATTATTCACATAGAATTGTAAGAGGACCAGGGGTTTTGCCATTTTTTAAAGATTTTATTGCACTTATCATGTCTGTCTTCGTTATATCTGTAAACTAGACCTGCATTTGGATTTAAGTTGCATTTATAAACACTGCGCTCTTTAGAATTGACGAAATTTGATTTGAATTGAATTTTGTAATTTATTTAGAGCTATGACATTGCAACACAAGAAACTCCTATTATAGCAACATCCAATGTCCAAGAACATATTTTTTTGATAGAGGATAAGATAAAAAAATGGAAAATTAAAGTGTGTAAGTAAAACTCAATTGTAACATGTGGCTTTCATTATGAGAAAATAGAAGTGCTCTGCAGTCTTGCTAAATTAAATTGAAATAAAAAATCTTCTTCTTCTTTACTGGCTTTACAACTCGCCCTCCATTCTCTACGATCTTGCGCTTCTATTTCCCATTGTTGTACCCCAATTTTAGATAAATCGCTTTTAACATCATTCTTCTATCTTTTTCTCGGTCGGCCTACTGATGTTCTACCATATGGTCTTTCAAAAAACACTGCTTTAACACTCTGTCATCCTCTGATCGTACCACGTGACCGCCCATCTTATTCGGTTTGCCTTGATATGTCTAACTTATGTTTTCAGTTCCATACAGAGTCACCAATTTAGCATTGCGGCGTCTTCTCCAATCCCCTGTGAATTCATCTGTTTGAAGGCCAAATATTATTCGGATAACCTTTCTCTCAAATACTAGAAACTTATTGATTTCCCGATGTTGAAAGTTCATGTTTCACTGCCATATGTACTAATTGGGCGAATAGTTGACTTGTACAGTGTTAATTTAGATTTTCTTTTTAGCCGCTTCGATCTTAATAATGTTGAGAGGGAGTATAATGCTCTATTTCCGGCAGCTATCTTTGCTGAGACCTCTTTTTCTATGTGGTTGTCAGCTGTGATTATCTTCCCCAGGTATTTAAACTCCTTTATTACTTCGAAGTTGTAATCATTAATAAGGATGTTCTGCCTAACTCTTGGTCTTGGATTTTTGGTTACTACCATGTATTTCGTTTTTTCTTCATCTATTCGGAGACCCAGACTACCTGTTTCCTCCACGAGCTGTGAAAACACCTCTCTCACGTCTCTTGTAGAATGACTGCATCTATATCATCAGCAAAGGTCAGCAACAGTCTTGATCCTTGATCAGCAAATTCTCCTGTTAGTAAATCAAAATTGAACAGCAACGGTGACAAGGGTCCCCTACCTAAGTCCTGAATTTATACCATATGGCATCGATGTTCTGCTTCCTGTCTTTACTTGCCCATATGAGTCTGTCACGCACATTTGCGTTAATTCAACTAATTTTCTTGGTATTCCCATTTCTAACATTGCTATCCACAATTTGCTTCTTTTTATGGAATCATATGCTTGCTGGAAATCTATGAAAATTTGGTGCACATCGCGGTTGAATTCCCAGTTTTTCTCTAATGTTTGTCGGATGGTAAATATCTGATCTATAGTTGACCTTCCAGCATGAAAGCCGCATTGGCGTGAGTCTCTTTAGTAAGATAATTGATAGCACTTTATATGATGCGTTGATAAGCGATATGCCTCTATAGTTTCGGAATTGTTCTTTGTTTCCCTTCTTATATATGGGAATTATAACGCTTCCATTCCATTCTCTAGGTATTTTCTGTTGTTGCCATACTCTCAGAATGATCTCATACAATTTTTGGTATAAAAGGTTTTCTCCTTTTTTTAACAACTCTCCATTTATGCCATCATTTCCTGGTGCTTTATGGTTTTTAAAGACACGATCGCATTCTTTACTTCCTCAAGTGTTGGTGCTGGTATTTCGATATCTGCAGAATGAAACGTAATATCTGCTTCCTCCGTCTCACTTTCAATATTTAGTAATTTCCGAAAGTATTCCTTCCATCGTTTGACAATTTCCGTTTCTATCATTATAAGTTCACCTGCTTTATTTCTCATAGGCTGTGTTACTCCAACACTTGCACCTTTTCTGACTGACTTCACTAAAGAATTTCCTCACTTGATTCCTCTGCTGAGTTCTGTCCATTTCTCGGATTTGCTGTTCTAGGTAGCTCCTCTTTTTAGTTCTGAATAGTCGCCTTTTTTGTGCTCTTGTTCTGTTAAAATCTGCTTTGTTCTCACCTGTGGGGTCTTGTAGCATTTTCAATCTTTTTTTCGTTTTTATTTCCTCGCATGCTTTGTCAAACCATTTCCGTTTTGGGCGATTCCTCTTTTTTCCAATGGTTTCATTGGCTGCTTGTTATATAACTTATGCCACTTACTGCCATGCTTGTTCTAACTCTACGTTATGCTCTTCCTCTCCCAGCAATTGGAATCTGTTGCTTATTGCCACTTGATAATCCAGTTCTTTATTTGGTGTTTGTAGGGCTTCTATGTTCCATATTTCTCTTTTTTCTTGTTGTTCCAGTTTCTCTATTGATAATCGCGTTCTTAACTTAGATTTCAACAGAAAGTGATCGCGAATTAATAATGCGTGTCTTGCGTCAATGAGGACATGATCTATTTGATTTCGTGTTCTTGCATCATTTGAAATCCATGTGACCTTGTAAATGTCCTTTCTCTCGAATTAGACGGATTTAACGATCATCATAAAAAAATCAGCATGTCAAATACTTGGACAGAGACTATAACTCTGTAATTTGTAAGGCGAAAACAAAAAGATTTGGCCAATAAACCTAGAGTAAGGTTAAATAATTATCGTGCTCGTTGAAGAAACCAAATAAAGGCACTAATGAACTTAAAAAAAAAGCAATCATTAAATTCTGAGTACTATCAAATATGTAAGTATCCTCATCATCATCATCAAGCCTTCTGCGTCCAAAGTTGAACATAGAACCCCCCCTCCCCCCCTAATTTTTTCTAGTTCTGTCGGTCTCGACATTCCTGTTGCCAATTCGCTGCGATTCTTTTGACGTCCAGTAAAGCAATGACGCGAAGACTTGTATATCCTTCTCTTATATCTTCCACTGATCATGTTGAAGCTATTATTTCATTAGACACATCATATTTATTTCCTATTATTTTTTTCTTATTATTTATACTATTTTTTGCACTAAAGTGAAGTGAATAGTTTAAAGATACATTAACCGATATTTCTTTGAATACCATTTCTGAATAACTTATAGAAAGAAAAACTTCCCATAAAGTTTTCTCTACAGAACCTATACTCTCTATCACACGTGTAATTTATTGTTGAAAATTAAAGAAACCTATTATTCAAAATTACCCTTTGACGCCTTCGGTGCGATAAATTTGCTTTAGCGTATTTGCAACTGTCATTTCTCCTGCCCTGACCTGCTTTCTATCAGCCAACATAATTCTAGTTTTCGCTACATCTAATGGAGTTGTTACGGCAGCTGAAAAACCACCTAGAGAAAATAAAAAAATATAGATTAATAAGATGTTTTGGGGCTTGAAATAAAAAAGTAATAATAATAAGAAGCAACTAAACATTAACCAAATAAATGCTAAATCTTTGTAGTGTTAGTCTGCACTCACGAGACAGTGGATAGGTAGTTCTGATTTTAAAAAGACCATTACTATTTGCGCAGACAGGAAGTATTAAGGAGCCTGCAAGCATCCAGAATTGGCTCCAAGTTAGTTTCAGATGTAATATGTCTTAGTGATGCTAATATGCCCAACAAAGTCAATTTAATCTTGAGTGCAAAGAGGAATGAACTAGCCAATGTACGTGCGAGATATGGCTCGTGCACTCTGCCTCTGGAGCTCGAGTTAGAGCTCCAGAGCTCAGAGAAATGTTAAAGGTGCTCGTGGCTTTTTGCGAGGACGCCTTACATAACCTCTCAGAAATTTCTTAAAAAGCTAGAGAACTTTAAAGTGATTGGATTTTGAGAACAGCGATGGGGACTTGGATCTTGACGTATGCTAGCACAGGTAGTACTATGCAACTAGACGGAAGCTCGGTTGAGCTTAGTCCTCTGATGCGCCGGAGATTGGTGTATTACTATGGTTTAGTCCGGATGTTAAAGGTAATACCTGGACCCTCTCTAGTTAATTTAGTATGGCAAAGGCCCAATAATGAGGCCCTCTACACCATAAAAACCTTCTGATTATTTATATTCACTTGAGAAGTCGTATGAAAAGTGGATCGACTTTTTTTTCACAGGTTTTAATGTATCTTTTTCACAATTTTAAAATTACCAAACATTGTCTTTTTGCCTGTTATAATTTTGGGAAATGGATATTGGACTCACCAAAAAATATAGAGAATATAAGGAAACCTCAAATAAGCACTTCTACATAAAAACACAGACAAATGCGATAAAAACCTACTTGTAAACTATTATATTTTCAATAATTTATATTTACCTGCTATCGATCCACATACTGCAACTTCCCAAGACTCGAGAGGTATGTTATTTTTAAAATTTTTCCTATAAGTTTTCTTCAAATACTCTAGTATGGGAAACTGTATAACTGAAAATGGTATTTCTCTCAATATCGTTGAGCCAAAACCTCTATATAAACCCTAAAATAATAAATAGGAAAACACATCGACTATGATCTAAAATTGCATGAATAGGGATAAAGAAATATATTAATTTTAAAAATTAAGTATCAAAATAAATTGCCTAAAAAAGGGAAATCCCAGATGTTCATTACTACTCCAGTAAATGACATTTTTGGAGTCACTACGAATTTGTTTGAAAAGATGAATTTACTTGAGGTGACAGCCACCCCCTTCTCGGGGGTAAAAAAACCAGCGTTCAAAGTAAGTCCAGAAATGGATAAATTGACTAATTCTAAGCAACTTTTATTCTATAGAATTTTTTCACTTGTCAAGTCAAGACTTTTTGAGTTATTTGTGAGTAAAAATGTTCATTTTCAAAATAAAAATACGTTTTCAGACGGTTTTTCTGAACGTGTCTAAAAAAAAGCTTTATTTTTGTTTGTTTTTAAGTTTCTAGAATCAAAACTAAGCGAGTTACGCTCTAAATAAAGTTGTTCCCTTTTTTTGGCAAAAACATCTTGAAAATCACCCGCTACTTCTTCTTCTTCTTCATGTACCATGTCCTTTCAGAACGTTGGTTACCATCATAGCTATTTTAATTTTATTCACTGCCACCCTAAATAGCTATGCTTGTATCTACACCATACCAATCTCGCAAGTTCTTCAACCATGAGGTTCTTCTTCGTCCTGGACTGCGTTTGCCTGCTATTTTTCCTTGCATGATATTTTGTAGCAATCTACTTTGTACCCCCTACTTAGGACCCCAAATAAAATTAATCCTTAGCGCTTTACAATGTATTTTGTCTGTAAGTCTGTAAGTCTGTAAGTTATATAGTTATATAGTCTGTAAGTTTCATCGATTCAAAGTGCTTATTTTAGAAAAAAAAATTGGTTGCATAGCAAAAGACAAATTTTAGAAACTTGGAAAACGGATAGGGTATACGAAAATAATCAATGGCGATTATTATATTACTGAAGAATTGCTGTATTTGTCAAAACAAAACATTAATTGATTCAAACCAACCAAGCTTACATAGCCGATATTACAATGATTATAGTTCGAATTTCCTTCTTCGCACACCAAATTCACCATATTTAATTGTTCTGATTTTTCAACGTCTCAAATTAAAAAAAAACTAGGCCCTAAAGTTTTTAAAAAAATGGAAGATAAGATTAATTAATATTGTGTTGTAAAGTTGTAAGGTTTTGTTATAAAATTATTGCTCTATAACATAGCTCTACAAATTATATACAGCAAAAAAAACAGAAAATTTTTTGTGTTTCCTTTACGAAGTTTTATCATGTTGGGACTATACTCGTATGAGATTACTAATATATATCAAAAAGTTTACTTGCCCTCAAACCCTCGTGTTTATAGGCCGACAAGGCAATTTTTAAAGAGGGTTTATTTCCTGATTGAGTCTGTCTCCTTTGCTTCACGACTTCCATTGGTACTCTCACTAAACATGCTGCCTAAAAAGTGAAATATGAATAGATAAATCCACATTTTTGGTTTAAGAAAGATTTACTTATTATATTAAAAAAAAATTGTTTAAAGTATATATTTTTTCATAGCTCTGTATAGTTTCACGTTTATAATAATGTCTTGCTTTTTGTTTAAAATCCTGGGTGTTTCTTACTTACTGTCTTATGACAGTATAAAATAGGTATTTAACAGTAGATAGTAGCTTTTATGTCTTTAGGGTAATTACTATTTAAATGGGAATAAGCCACAATTAAAGGTTAAAGTAAGTTTATTGACGTTTCAATTTCCACTTCGGAAATCGTTCTCAAAATACAAACATTAGTAAATTAGCTTCATAACAATATGGCTTTAGGGATAATACGATTCGTCATAGGGACATAGGAGGACCAGGTCGGGAATTGGGATACACCACAATTTGACCCAAAGGCTAAAAAATGCGCATAAGTCCGAACCCCAATTCAAATTTATTGTTAATGAGGGGATAGAATGAGTTTCTTCATATGTTAAGCTATCAGTAATATAAGAATTTTTAATTAGTTTTTGAACCTATAATAGGGCTGTCATTGCCATACTAAAGCGAAATGCAAATAACATCCATACAATGTCGTAGTGCTGTTAAGAATCATTCAGTACTCCTTTTACTAAGAAATAAATATATTGCCTTAGTAAACGAAACAATAAAGTACTTAATCTTTTCCCACTTTACAGTCATTTGTTGAGTGATCCTTAAACAAAAAGAAATGAGTTTCATATGACTATTTTCCAATTTAAGATATTGGTCTTAAAGGAATAAGGCTTGGAAGATAAACTACTGATAAGGTAGTGCTGCCAGCATCGAGCAAAAAGACAAAAGAGGGAATGTAAAGGCAGTGGGGGCAAAAATATTGTTAGACAGGAAGTGCCATCTTGAGAGGCCACATTAAACAAGGAAAGAGAATCTCTTTCCTTGTTTAAAAAATCAAATTTAGTTGGGTTATGTTATTGCTGATGGTATTGTTTGTCCCAACTATCACATGAAAGATTATTTGTATTTTCTATTGAAGTGTTTTAACAATTGTTTCACATTTTGGACTATTATCGTTATTATTTAATTAAAACTTAATTGTGTTCTAGTGTTAAAAAAAGTATTTTAAGTGTAAAGCACGTGGTGGTTGTGTGTATTAAGGTATAAAAAAATGCTTATTAAAAGCTTAAAATTTTTATTTTAAAGAAGATCTTTTCGGAATTGAATCATTCCATCATCAGTTTACTAAAAGAGAGAGTAAAAATACCAATATTAAAAAACAAGTAAGTTAAAATTTAAATAGGTATATAAAAAAAGAACACGTTGGTTTTTTACTACTTACATAAAAAGTTGTCAAAAAACATTGTATGGCCACATAAAAACATTGGAAGGACATCCGTATTAAAAAACAATCCTCATGGTATTTATGAAGGTAAATGCAATAGACTGTTAATTTGTTGATTAATAAAAACTGAAAATGGGGGCATCTTACATGACCCCCTGTAGTTGGTGAGGTTTTATCGACTTACATTACCTCTGATCTGTGCTGGAGTCTAGGGCTAACTGATAGAAAGATGGTATGAAAAATCAGTTAGTACCCGTCAATGTCAAGTGGAATGATGTAGTAGGAGCCAAAGTCATTGTGCTTAAGTTTGTGAATAGGCCGTTTTTAGTGAAGAATTGTGTTTAGTGTGTAGTAGGATCAATAGCAATTTTTGGTATTTTAAAAAGGTGGGAGAATGTAAAACAATGAGTGACTGTGATGTAAAATAAATTTGGTATACCAGGGTAAGGCAAAATTTAAGTTAGGTAGTTGAAATTAATAAATCATTTTACAGGCGATAAAAAGAATGTTGTTACCTAATTGTTTCCTTGTATGAAGTAAGTATAGATAAAAGTTGGTTTGAAAATTATGGAAGATGAATCGAGGAAAAAGAAATAAAAGAGAAAGAAAGAAAAGGAAATAGGAGATGAATGTAAAGATGTAAGCTGGGGATACTGAAACTAATTGTGATAAGAGATTGATAGATGTAAAGTGAGTATTTATGAGAAAACCTGTGTGATTAGTTAGATGGTAGTTATTGGAGAGGATAGGAAATTGGCTATTGGAAAAGGGGGATGTTAGTGTATTAATGGTGACAAGAATAGAGTTAAGTATGGCGGATTATATAGGGTTATATAAAGCTATGGGAAAATAGAAAGAAATGTAGAAGTAAGTAAAACTGGATGTGTAGTTAAAAGAAAGAAAGTTAGATCAGGAGAATAATTGTCGATGAAGTGGGACGAAGTCTCTGTTGATGCTGGTGTGATGATTAACGCAATTGGAACTATTTTTCTTTTCCTTGACTATTTCCAAATTCTCAAAAAGGTCAAGTTTGAGATAATCTCTACCTGGGATGTTATGAAGAAGAGAAATATCATCTGGTACCTTGATTGTGTGATTGTGATATTTAAGATGATGGAAAAAAGAAGAAGTGTTCTCTAACTTGGAATGTTCAATGGCCCTGGTTACTAGAGATCTACAAGTTCTACCAATATAAGTGGTATCACAGTCAGAACATTGCAGTTTATAAACTCCACTGCGTTTGCTGAAGTCAATAGAGTCCTTACTATTGCATAATGATCTACTCAATGTATTGTTAACTTTAAAGGAAATCTTAATATTTTCAACAGAAAATATTAAGAAATTTCAGGATAGTGTTTTTGATTGATTCGGAGAGTGTTGGACAGTGAAATGGTAATGAGAAGTAGGATGTGGAATCTGAAGTAATGTTAGGGTAAGCTGATTGTTGAAGCAATTTACGTTTCTTTTTATAAATGAGTTTATGGATGATATCAGGGTTATAGCCATTATTGAAAGCAATCTGTTTGATTATGTTTAGTTCTTGGTTGTAGTTAATGTTGGATAATGGGATGGTTTCTAAACGATGAATGAAACTGTTAAATGCAGATAATTTGTGTAAAATAGGATGGTTAGAAATTAAAATTGTGTGGGTTTTCTGTAGATGCTATAATCAAAGACATTATTAATTCTATCGATGGAAAGATCCAAGAAATTGATGGAGAAGTTGGATTCTAATTCCATAGTAAATTTAATATTGGGGAGAATATTATCGATAATGTTTAGTAAGGAAGAAGCTGTATTTGAGTTACCTCTAATGAACACTAAGCAATCATCAACGTAACGGAACCAGTGTAGAATTGTATTGTTAGTCATGATTTGAGTGGATTCTAGATTATTCATGAAGAGGTCAGCTAAAAAGGGGGAAAGACAACTTCCCATGCCAAGCCATCAGGGTGTTTATAAAAAATATTATTAAAAGAAAAATAATCTTATGATAAACACAAGGAAAGTATCTCTATTATTGGTGTGATGACTGGGGGATTAGTTGATTTAGATGTGAGAAGGTCGTGGACTAACTATATAGTTTCAAGTTTAGATACAGAAGTAAAGAGATTGCTAACGTCAAATGAAAGCATAGTCATATCTGGTAGGAGATTTATGTGATTGAGTTTGGATATTAGTGGATATCTCCACTTCATGGTTTGTTCCAGTTTCACTTTTTATTTTAAGTGTATTATGTATTAATATTATGTAAAATTAATATTATGTAATATAAAATAAATAAATAGACAAATTAGAACCCCTACACCACTGTATGATTATTGTAAAGTGTCATGAAATTTAAATTTGGCGCATTCGCATTTCCGGATATAACCGCCATCAGAGGGCACTTTTTTGGTCTCCTTTTCATAACGATTAGATTCCCTCTTTTGTCTTCTTGCTCGATGGCTGCCAGTGACGTAAAATGAAATTTAAATCAAAATTAAATCGAAAAGTTTTGTCCGGTCAAAGCCGAGAAATTATAGCAAATGGTATGCATTTTATGCAACAAGAAGCAAGGGGCAACGTACCTCTAATAGACTTAAAACAAGTGCAAAAACGTATTGTAAGAGCAACATGTGTAAGTTTATCCGTCATACAAGCCATTTCGAAGGAAATGAATTGCATCGAAGATGGTACTGTATCAACATTTAGTACTCCAAATAAAAAAAGAAATAAGTCGGCTTTAAAATCTAAGTTGGATGAGTGCGACAAAGGGGTGCTTCGTCGATTTATTATTAATTTTTGTACTACCGAAAAACGAGTTCCAACTTTACGAGTACATAGACATCCATTTGCCACTGAGTACAACTACAATGGTTCGCGTGAATAATTCAGAAAAGCAATGAGGGATATAGGGTTTCGTTGGATAAAAAAAACTAATAAAAAACTTTTAATGGAAAAACCAGAAATCCTACAGTTGAGACGTAACTTTCTTAGAGATATTAAAAAGTACCGAGAAGAGAAGCGTCCTATCATATACATGGACGAAACCTACATTCAGTCTTCTCATACTCACTCGAAATGTTGGAGCGACAATTCCCAAGGAGGGATTACGTGCCCCAATTTCAAAAGAGACTGATAATAGTGCATGCAGGTGGTGAAAATGGTTTTGTGAAAAATGCTTATTTGAAATTTAAATCAAACAGGTGACTACCACAGTGAAATGAATTACAAAAATTATAAAAAATGGCTTTAGCAAATGCTTATTCCCAATCTTCCTCCACGTAGTGTACTGGTTGTTGGCAATGCCTCTTATCACAACGTGCAAGTTGAAAAGTGTCCTAATATGAGTTCAACGAAAAATGAAATGAAAGAATGGCTAAGACAACGCAATCTGCCTTTTTCAGAAGATAAGTTAAAAGTAGATCTTTACAGCATTGTACAAATCCATAAAGCCAGATTTAAGGTGTATGAAATTGACAGAATATTGGGTAATAGTGGTCATTCAGATCTCAACCCCATATAATTAGTATGGGCAGCTCTTAAGAAATACGTGGCCGAATAAAACGTTGACTGTAAGTTTAGTTCTGTGGATCGTTTTCAAACATTTTCAAATGAAGAGTGGAAAAAACGGTGTGAACACGGTAAAAGATTCA